TGAAATTGAATATAAGGAAGGAGGAGATATTATGGTGTGATTGTAAGGAAAATTATGTAATGATGGTGTGGTATGAGGTGGAGAAAGAGGAACTAATACCCTCATTTTGGAGGTAATAGTTACACTAGAGAGAGGGTGGGTAAATATTACCCTCATTATGAGGATAATATAATTCCTCTCTCTTTTTTTTTCATGGAATAACTATTTCATTTCAATTGTAAACACACATTGTCTCCTACAACAACACTTTTAATTACTTACTACGTATATTTTTTCAAGTTTGATTTTTATTACCCACAAAGGCCACAATCCAAGCATACCCTACGTGGCTACGTGGTGTGCATAACACTATAACATTCTCAGGGTCGTCCAAGAGGCAGTGTATAAGAGGGTGCTGACTTGGGCCCTAGGGAAGGAGGCCCAGTCAGTTTTAATTACTAAAAATAAAGTTCTTTAATTGTAGGAAGTTAGAAATTAGGTGACTGAATAAGAATACTTGGTTACAAACTACTCCGTACCTCTTTGTAACTGCACAATCCGCATAACTTCGTCCACTAATTTTTCTCATCAAAATCCATACTTTCGAAGTAATTGGCACTCCCTCCGTTTTATTATGTTAGTCCTAGTATTATTTTAGGCGTTTAAAAAAAAAGGGTTTTTCTAAGCTATACCCCTAAGGTATTCGAGTTTCTAAGGTGTACCCAAACTTTTTCAAGTTTATAAGTTGTGCCCCTCAACTCACTACCATTACTGAATGGTACCCTCTTTGAGACTTCCACGTCACCTAAAGTTAAGTATAAATTTAATAGAAAGATGATAAAAAGGTAAGGAAATGGTAGGATAAAGAAATCTTAGCCACCGCAACCCTAATAATGAAAACTGGTGCCACGAAATCACACTCTCAAATAACTTTTAAGCAACTAATAAGCGTACATTTTAGTATTGATAAGGAGTTGAAGGGCATAGCTTAGAAACTTGAAAAAGCATGGGTACACCTTAGAAACTCGAATACCTTAGGGGTATAGCTTAGAAAAACCCAAAAAAATCTATCCATATTGAATATATTTCATTTTAAAGTTAGTTTATATTTCCTATTTTATACCCATTAAATTCTAAGTGGTTAAATTAATTAATCGTTGATTAATGTCATGGCTCTAAGTAAGAAAATCTCACTCTTGAATTATGCAATTATGGCTAATGCTTTTCAAAAAAAAAAAAAAAAAAAAAAAAAATCAAAAAATTTAATAAGGCAAAAAAAATTTATTTTTATTATTATTATTATTATTTTTTAGAATGAATAAGGAAAAATTAATCATGAACAACTTTTGTACTTTAATGTAAGATTCCAAGTATTACTCTTTTCTTATTTTATGTGATTGATTGCATATGACACTATCATATTGAAACGGATGGCGTATAAAATATTCACGTGATTATCATCTTTAAACTTTCTTATTTCCCTACCTTATAAAAAGTGAGAAAATACTGTTATGAATAGTGTCAAGACTATTATACCCTTAAAAAAGCTAATTGACATATTTACCCCCAATTAAAATTAATTTTGATGCATTTAAGTATATAACCTTTCGTATTTTTGTCCTCTATTTCTTTTGTTTATCTTCCTTCTTATCATTCCACTGAAAAGGCCAAAAATCCTCATCCCTTCCCTACCTTATAAAAAGTGAGAAAATACTCTTATGAATAGTGTCAAGACTATTATACCCTTAAAAAGTTAATTGACATATTTACCCCTATTTAACCTTTCGTATTTTTGTTCTCTATTTCTTTTGTTTATCTTCCTTCTTATCATTCCACCAAAAGGCCAAAAATCCTCATTTCTCAATTTCCTCTTTTCTCACGAACTCCTTTTCTGGTTGCTGGAAAATACTGCTAACATGTCAGTTTCCATTCCCTTGGTCACCACCCATATCATCGCCGCGATAATTCTATAAGGATGATGACCCTGCTGGTTGTTTTTTTTTTCACTAAAGGAAATGTAAAGTTTGTGCAATCTATTTGTTTATGTTATACGAAGAGGTGAATAAGCATACTATTCAGAGACGCCCGTATTCGGTTAGAGTTGGGGATAACTCAAGATTGGTGGAGTTGACAGATGAATGCAATAATGGTACCTTCGTAGTGGTGGAGTGTAAAGTGTAATTGCTTGAATACCATTAAACTGATAAACCAAAAAAAAAAGTAATACTTTTAATGTAATTTCTTTTAGTTGTGTTTATAGGGGAGTCAAACAAAGAAACTCATTTTATGATTCTTCTACGGAATGTAGCAGTTATGTCTTATATATGAGGTACTATAGTCTTATGCTTTTGATTAAGAGGTTGTTTGAAGATGTATTTTGCTTTAGCTACTGTGTCATTGGCTCGATTTTTATCCTAGGAAAAGCTTATAGTTTATGATTATAGAAAAGAGTTAAGACGTACTCATACATCATCAGTTAAATACTCGTAGCTCATAAATGCTATCTCCTCCATTATATGGTCCAAAGACTATCTAATTGCAGGGAACTATACTAATTCACATAGCCTTTGTGCGAGGGTGTTCAATGAGGGTTTTTTCCTCTCCATAACACTCCTATTGTAGTTATAAAATGATGCAATAATAGCTTTGACTGCCTTTTTATATAGTAATGCATACATTGGCGAGTTATAATATATATGATCAATTTCAAAATAAATAATCATAACACAAAACATGTTTCTACAATAAAATAAATTCATATATAATCTCTTATTGATCGACCTAAGACAAGTAATTCAACAGCAACTCAAAGTACGTAAACTTTGAGGTTCGAATTTATAACTCCCCTACGATGGCTAGCTGTATCGCGCGCATCGCGCGCATAAGCTTCCCTAGTAAAAAAGTAAATTAAGATATGGAGTGTAATTATATGAGCTTATTTTAACTTATTTTAGTTGTAATTTGTATCTAGATTGATTAATTTATTACTCGCTCCATGTTTAAATAAGTTAAATGTTTTCCTTGTGCACGTATGCCTATGGCAAACTTGACCAATAATATCTTTGATTATCAATAGCTAAATATTATAACAATTGAATTTAATGAACTATTCATTGAGATGATTCCAATAAGTACCTACAAAACTATCAATCTCGTTAAAATTTTTGAGTCTAGCTTCGATTTGTTATTTTACCAAATTTCTTTGCCAATGCCGTTAAAAACGGAGATATTATTTGTTCGAAATAAATTTCTTTGTAAATATCATATAACTTTTACACCCTCAACTCTCACTAAAACGAAATCCAACCATCATCACCTTGTGACCCACTTCCACTGTCTTACTCCACCACCACTTCCACCATCTTTTTTGTTCTAGCTAGGTTCCATCGGCATTTTCGACGGCATTTTCAAGAGGAGAAGACACGGAGTTGGGTTTTGGGGGGTTTGAGTTGCGATGGCGAGTACAACGGCGAGAGAAAATGGTTGTGGTTTTGGCGGCAACACTATAGTTGGAGTGTAAGAGATGCTTTGTTTGACTTAATGTGAAAATCCCAATTTGGAGGGGTTTCATGGATGTAATGAGGAGAGAGAAAATATTGTAGCCATGGAAAAAGAAGAGGGTTAGTGGTCTGGTCAATAAGAAAATAATGAATGGAAGGTATTAGATTATTATTGTCAGATTTTAGAATATTATTGTCAGACATATTAAACTCACGGTGAGTCCAGGGATCTTTTACCAAAATAGCTAATATAACAATATTATTTACCCAAATGGCTAGTTATGAATTTTAATTACAAAACTAGCTACATTAGTATCTTGAATGGAAAATTACCCCTCCTTTTTAAAAAACAAAAAATATTACTCCTCAAAATAAAATTCTTTGAATCGGTTTGCTTTAGCTTTATTTTTTTACTTTTAAGTTTTTTTTGGATTTTAATTATTTGGAAACTTCTAATGCCATAGTTCATAAATGTCTATATCCCATTAATATAGGAAAAACATTCAACGCAACAATTTTCAATTGTTTAAAGTAAACCAAAAAATCATCCAAAATGTTTCTCTAAACTTCAACAAACAAAATAAAAAAAAAATAAAAAACACCGAAAAAGAATCATAATATCTTGATTATTGATAGTAACTAGAGTTATACCATAACTTTAGCGAGAGAAACATTTTTTAAAATCCAAACACTTCTCCCAAGAGCCTGGAGATGACAAGAATACTACTTCAATTAACAATTTTTTTGATTGAGCAATACTACGATGTAGTACTTGAATTGAATGTAAAATATTTGTGATACATTTCTAAATATATAAAAGTTTAAAATTTTTTATGATCTTGAAATTAGGATTTATTGCTTATTAGCGGCTGTTAGTAACCTGAATAAGGCTTTCTTTTTTTTTTGTTTGAATTAATTTAGCTTAGCTAGTTTTGGAATTAATTTTCATAAATAGCATTTTGGTAAATAGTTTTGTTATAATGGCCATTTTGGCAAAAGATCCGTGAGTCTAGTCTCATGCAAAACCTTCTCTTTCCTATATTGAATATTATCACTTTATTTGTCAAGCATAATGACAGAATTAATCGATTCAATTAATTTAGAGCCCGGCTCCAATTTGTTATTTTACGATACCCGTAGGCCACCAAAATCATAAATAGGAACAAGCCTGCATAAAATTATATAAGATGATAGTATTAGACCAGACCATCCTGATGTGACCCGCGACTAAAAAATTGACCTGAAATTGAACAAACATGACCCGACTCGTACTCGAAACTAAGTGGAGTTGACCCAAATACCCGATCGTGACTTGACCCAAAGTTGACCGAAACTAACCCAAAGTAACCCGACCCGATTTTAACCGAAATGATTGACCCAATACCCAAAGTGACCCAATATGAACTTGACCCAACTTGAACTTAACCTAAAATGTTAGACCCAAATTGACCGGATCCAACCAGAACTCATTCCAAATCTTTGCTGATTCGAAATGATCCAACCCAAACGACCGATAGCATGTTGTCCATCTTTACGGATCAGAGTTCTGCACGGCTAATTGAGTGTTTAAGACCTATATATAAGATAACGCACGTACCATGCAACTCCTACAATTGTATCAAATTAAACACCCTTAATTCTCTACCTAAATATCTCCCCTTATATTCTCTAACAAACATGGATTTGTTGAGCTACATAAAGTGGATATTACCATTATATGCTACATCCTATTTAATTGTTTCACTTGCAAAATACAAGTCATACGTTAAAAAACTACCTCCTGGACCCTCCCCTTTGCCTATTATTGGCAATCTCTTGAACCTTTTACCTCACATCACCAAACCTCACAAGTACTTTGATGAACTTGCTGAGACTCATGGCCCCATCATGAGCCTTCAGCTTGGTTCCACGACCGCCATTGTCGTATCAAATGCCATGCTTGCCAAACAAGTCCTCCTTAATAGCCATGACACCCTATATGACCTTGATGCTTTTCGAGCTAGCGATCATGATAAGTTCTCCATTGGACCACTATCAGCCTCTTCTCCCATGTGGAGAATTCTTAGAAAAATCTACAACAACCGACTATTGAGTGAAAAGATGCTCGAATCAATGAAGTCTCATAGGTACCGAAAGTTGGAGGACTTGCTATGTTATATGAAAGAATGCTCGCAAACCAACATTGTTGTCGATGTTGGACAAACGATTTATGATGCTTCTTTCGATATTATATCTAGCACTATTTTCTCTATGGATTCGAGTAGTGATTCGAGGATAAAAGAGATTAAGGATTTAATGGAATGTATCATAAATGAGATTGGGAGACCTAACATAGTAGAATGTTATCCCATTCTTAAATTGATCGATCCACAACGCATTAGACACCGGCTAACAAGTTATTGTGTTAGATTGTTTAAGTTATTTGATGAAGTTTTAGCATTGAGACTAAAGTCTAAGAATGATCAAATGCACATTTCAAATTCGTACCACGATGATCTATTGGACGTGATGTTAGATGTTATGGAAGAACAAAGGGACGAAATCAATCAAGATCATCTTTACCATCTGCTGTTGGTAAGTGCACTTGTATACAAAGTATATACTACTCCGTACATTTTAATTGTCAATATGTTAGTCCCATATGGAATCAATCACATAAAATAAGAAAAGAAATATATTTGGAATCTAACATTAAAGTACAACATAATTCATAATTAATTTACCTTATTTAACTTTTTTGATTTTTTATTAGGAAATCACAAGTTATAATTGCACAACTTGAGGTAAAGATTTTCTTACTTAGAATCATGTCATCAATCCACAATCAATTAATTCCTATAAAAATCAAGTTATCAATGAAATATATTCAATATGGTAGATCTTTTTGAAATGCCCAATATAGTATGTGGGACTAACATTATGAAACGGATGGATTAATTAATACTTAATAATTAATAAGAAATAATTAATAACTAATAACTAATAATTCATAATTAATAAGAAATAATTAATAACCAATAATCAACAATCAATAATCAATAATTAATAATTCATACTTAATAATTAATAAGAAATAATTAATAACTAATAACTAATAATTAATAAGAAATAATTAATAACCAATAATCAACAATTAATAATTAATAATTCATAATTAATAATTAATAATTAATAACCAATAATTAATAATTAATAATTAATAATTAATAATTAATAATTAATAATTAATAATTAATAATTAATAATTAATAATTAATAATTAATAATTAATAATTAATAATTAATAATTAATAATTAATAATTAATAATTAATAATTAATAATTAATAATTAATAATTAATAATTAATAATTAATAATTAATAATTAATAATTAATAATTAATAATTAATAATTAATAATTAATAATTAATAATTAATAATTAATAATTAATAATTAATAATTAATAATTAATAATTAATAATTAATAATTAATAATTAATAATTAATAATTAATAATTAATAATTAATAATTAATAATTAATAATTAATAATTAATAATTAATAATTAATAATTAATAATTAATAATTAATAATTAATAATTAATAATTAATAATTAATAATTAATAATTAATAATTAATAATTAATAATTAATAATTAATAATTAATAATTAATAATTAATAATTAATAATTAATAATTAATAATTAATAATTAATAATTAATAATTAATAATTAAATTAATAATTAATAATTAATAATTAATAATTAATAATTAATAATTAATAATTAATAATTAATAATTAATAATTAATAATTAATAATTAATAATTAATAATTAATAATTAATAATTAATAATTAATAATTAATAATTAATAATTAATAATTAATAATTAATAATTAATAATTAATAATTAATAATTAATAATTAATAATTAATAATTAATAATTAATAATTAATAATTAATAATTAATAATTAATAATTAATAATTAATAATTAATAATTAATAATTAATAATTAATAATTAATAATTAATAATTAATAATTAATAATTAATAATTAATAATTAATAATTAATAATTAATAATTAATAATAACTCTCTCCTTCCCCTTTTGATAGTCCCTTATGGACAAATTTTAGTCCCAAAATATTCACCCCATTTGTTTTTTTTCTAAAAACCATTAATATTAATTTTTTTACCAACATAATTCATAATTAATTTACCTTATTTAACTTATTTGATTTTTTATTAAGAAAACACAAGTCATAATTGCACAATTTATGGTAAAGATTTCCTTACTTAGAGTCATGTCATCAATCCACAATAAATTAATTCCTAAAAAAAATCAAGTTATAAATGAAATATATTCAATATGGTATATCTTTTTGAAACACCCAAAATAGTATGTGGGACTAACATTATGATACGGATGGATTAATTAATACTTAATAATTAATAAGAAATAATGAATAACTAATAATTCATAATTATTCTTCTACAGTACCTCGACGTGACATGAGCGTAAAAGGGGTTCAAGAATCAGTTTTCTTTTTATAAGGGCTAAATCAACAATCAATAATGAATTCATAATTAATAATTAATAATTACTCCCTCTTTCCCTTTTGATAGTCCCTTATGGACAAATTTTAGTCCCAAAATATTCACCCCATTTGTTTTTTTCCAACAACCATTAATATTAATTTTTTTTTACCAAAATTCCCTCCAATTTGCAGCAATACTTGTGCAAATTTAAATTTTCCATGTAAATTTTGTTTCCCAATGTACTTTAAATAATTTCTCTCTCTACTTTTTCGCATACCCGCCCAATGTCAATTTACTTTTTCAATGTAATTTAAGTATTCTTATTTGTGTTTATTAATTTCCGTGAAAAATTCCCATAAGGGACTATTAAAAGGGAACGGAGGGAGTAATAATTAATAATTAATCCCTCCAATTTGTGTTTATTAATTCCCTCCTTCTCCTTTTGATAGTCCATTTTGGTCAAATTTTAGTCGCAAAATGTTCATCCCATTTACATTAAATACCCTCCAATTTGCAATACTTTTGTGCAAAATTAGCTTCTCCCATATAAATTTTGCTTTTTCATGTACTTTTATTACTTAGTCTCTCAACTTTTTTTTTGCAAATTTCACGTAAATTTACCTTTTCAATGTACTTTTATTAGCTTCCCCATAGTCTTATATATACTTCATTCACATTTTAGTTTCTTAATACTGATGAAAAATGCTCAAAAGGGTCGTTCTTTTAGGGACGAAGGGAGTAAATTAAAATAATTAATTATTATTACTATTTTTAAAATTGGGTAATGCTATATATATCTCTTAAGGATATAAATAAAAATTAAATTTCTTTTCCTTATTTGGTATTAGTTTAGGAATGCATGACAAAAACACGCGTAAATCAATGTAATCATCTATCAATCAATAACTATATACTAAAAGACACATCAGCAATGACACGTGTCATCTCCTGGTGTGTCCTTAGGTTTTTTTTTTGTTAAGGAAATTTAATTATAGTATAATATCTTATACGAAAATAATTTCTTATATAAGTTAACAAAGATAATTACTTTAAATAAAAAGATTTGATATATCTTTCCACACAAACATTTATGACTATAGTAGAAAATATTAACATTTGTGATATATTTTAATCTACTTCAACGAAGTATTCATATTTTTTCCCTAATAAAAATAGTTGTCATTTATTGATTAGAATTCACATCCAAGTAGTGTGTATATTTATTATTTTTTTTATATTTTTAAATTTTTTGTAAAATAACCAATTATATTTAAAAGTTGATACTGAGTATTATTTTTTAAAAATTACCGTGCGTGGCGTGGGACCTTCTGCTTTCCTCTTTTAGATTCTTATTCATATCCCTTAGGGCTATGTATAACATTTTCCTTTATTATTTTATTGATGGAATATAAAAGTTGTGTGTATTAAAAAAATTAAAAAACATATGTCAATGCCTTTAAAGGTGATTTTGTAAAAAAACAAACAACAGCTATATTTATCAAAAATATTTATTTATTAATAGAAAACATTCAAACAACTAATATAAAAATCCAATAAAAACAGCTGGTTAGACCGGTCAAGAGAAATAGCCAACAACCAAAGATGGATCTAGGACGATTTCATAGGGTGGGTGGATACCTATAAGTTTTTGTTTCAATAAAAAGAAAAGACAAAATAATGTTGCTAGTAAGAATCGAATACGGTATCAATACTAGATTCATTTGAGAGTTTAGGCTATATGGAAAAAACCAACTTAGCCAACACAATTTAATGGTATATATCGCAGCAATATTCTATTTGTATTAAAGAAATTTATGTTCATGGGGCGGGCAATGGCCTGGGTAGGCCCGCGCCCTAGATCCGTCTGTGCCAATAATCAGTAGCTAGTCAATTGTCAAACAAGGCCTTAAACTGTCATCAGTTCTGTTTTGCTTGACATATTTCTGTATTGCGTTTATCAACTTACTAGTTTGACAGCATTGAACTCTTATGATCAATAAATAATAATTAATAAAGATTAATATTATGAATATATAAATGGATATTATCATAAATATACATCGAGACGATTATAAGAAAATAACACATAACTAGCTATATATACGAAGTACTTCCTCTATTTTTTAGATGCATCACTTTCTATAAATAGAATTGAAGTTTTGGTTTAGATGCATTAGTTTTCTCTTAATAAATTCTCTTTATATTTCTCATATCACATGGACCCCCTTTTTATTCTCTCTTTAATCCAAAAATTGTGTAGGATTCCATATTTTAAAAAATGATGTATCTAAAAAAAATAGAGGAATTATTATAATTACAAATCACAAATTAAGCCAAACTAGGGTTTGTAAATAGTGTCAAAAATTAAAGCGCATATCAACTACAAAAACATAGGAAGTAATTGGATAAAGGGTCAATATATTTAAAGTAATACAGAGTACAATTTTATATAACATGCATGTAATAATTAATATGTATCTCACATATTATATTGAAACTTTGTTTATTTCTTTATATAAACTTTAGGATCTTCTTGGTTCTGGAATGGACACCACCTCAAAAACAGTGGAGTGGGCAATGACAGAGTTACTTAGAAATCCTATGGCTCTAAGCAAGTTGCAAGAAGAATTAGATGGATTGATGCTAAAATGCAATATGGAATATATATTGGAATCGCATATCTTTGAACTTCCATACCTACAAGCAATAGTTAAAGAAACCCTTAGACTTCATCCAGCAGCTCCATTGTTACTCCCTCGCAAAGCAGAAAAGGATGTAGAATTTGACGGCTTTCAAATCCCTAAGGATACAATGCTTATAGTTAATGCATGGACTATTAATCGCGATCCACATACTTGGTCTAACCCGAATTCATTCATTCCAGAGAGATTCTTGGGGTCGGAGATTGAGGTTAAGAGCCAATTTAGCCAACTCTTTACATTTGGTGGAGGAAAGAAAATTTGCCCGGGGATGCCCTTGGCCATTCGCATGATTTCTTTGGTATTGGGTAATTTGATTCACTCGTTTAATTGGAAATTTGAAGATTTTGAGGAGTTGCAACGGGTTTTAGACATGGATGATCTATGTGGAATTACAATAAAGAAGACCAAATCACTACGTGCTATTCTGATTAATCGTTCGTGATAATTTATGTTGAAGCTACGATTTTTATTTTTTATATATATATATTTTTTGAAATATGAAGCTAAGATTTATGATGCACATACTAATTAATCCAAAATTAGTTTTTATGAATGTCAATTTCACAACTTCCTCGTTTCCTTATAAGTTATAACACTACACATTAAATACTTGCAAATTTTTTTAATAGCAAAATATTTTATTAATTAAAAGTCATACGACATCTGATCTTTAATAGATATTCGACGTTAACAAATACATAAGATATTGAATCAAATAAAATTTTCCTTCATAAAAACTACGATCGTCGAGTAGATCTTGCACCGTGGAATATCTCCCGCTTATATCGCTGGAAATTACCCTACAACTTTGTTGGAGAGACAATCTAAGCCGTCAGGATGTTTTCCTTCTGATTCATCTATCTGTATTCGAAACTTGATAATTTTTTCACCAACAAAATAATCTTACGACAATCCATTAGATCTAATATCATGGATTCAAAACTAAGAAATTTCTCCTCGAAAAGAGGATATAAACCTTGTCTTTCAAAGGAGGTCGAAAAACCCTTGTCTTTTGAAGGAGCTTGAAAACCCTTTCTTTCGAGGGAGAACAATTCCTCCCAAAAGGAGGAAGCACTATTATAAACCAAAAAAAAAAAAACATTAAAGAAACAAGGATTGAGGCTTTCCATCGATTAAAACCGATGAAAACCCTTTCAAAATTCAACAATGGAGGCTAGGGTTTTGGAGAGAGGAAGGAGGAGAAAATATATTTTTTTTTTTTTGGAAAATTTGTAAATATTAAGTCAATCTTTTTGCCATCCGCTTTTATTATGTCAATCTTTTAATTATTTATGAACACGTCAACCTTGTAATAGCATTAATTTTTATTACGTTTTTTTACCGGTGACCGGATAAATCCTTTAAATTTTCAAAAAAAAATTAAAATGAAAAATTGAGTTGGCATTTTAAGTTGTTTTTAACCCCCAAAAAAAATGAGTTGGCTGTTAATCATGCAACTAATTAATAATTTACTCCTAAAATTCACGATCTCCCTCCTATTCTCCACTCTTCCTTTCATCTCCATACTCCAACTCTATTAAAATTTGCACATACTCCATTATTCCTTCCTCTTCCTCTCAAACCCAAGACCCACCCTCACCGCTTCTCACTTGCTTTCAGCATGCTCACACCAGCAAACCCCACAAGCGGTGCCGGAAAACCACCTCTGTGACTCCCTGCCACCAAACAAACACCCCACCACAACCAATCCACCTCTTTTCCCATCATCGTCCTCTTCTAATCACACCCCAGTATTCTCAATTAAATTATGGTCTGTTTGGTATTGTGGATTTCATTTTAAATGATGGAATTGGGCCAAATATGTTGTTTGGCTATACTAAGAATTTGGATTTGTAATTGGGCCAAATCCAAGGTATGTAAGAAATATGGCCATTTTTAGGAATTTGAAATCCATTATCAAATCATGTAATTTCAAATCCAATTTATTTCCCATCTTACTCTTTCCCTCTCCACGAATTTTTTGAGAATTTTTTCCCTAAAACCTTGCTCTCTCTCCTACCTCTCTCTCCTGTGCCGCCATTAGAGAAGCTGAGGTCAAGCTTTTGCTCTATCTCTCTCCTTTTTGTTGCCATTTGTAATTGTTGTTTATTAGCTAGTTGTAATTCTTAACCCTAATTTCTGTAATTTGATGAGATTTGTCAATTTAATCAACCCTAATTTTTGCAATTTGATGAGCAATAGCACTGATGGCTGCGATTGTATTATTTTTATTATCTTTAATTGTTGCATACAATTTTACAGCAGCTTGGTATGAATTGATTTGCATGATTTTTTTTCGTGATTTGTGTTGATAGTTTGATTAAATAGGAGCTGCCTTTCAGTTTGATTTTTTTCGCTCTTTTTTTTGTTCATTTTTACTATAAATTTAATTGATTTGTGTGGTAAAACACTAGTATTTCAGTGCACACTAGGTGTTCGATGAAATGTTAAAGTGAGAAATTGTTTACAAAATAATATCTTTGCTCTCTGAATGTTGGAAATTTAAGTGTTCTTATTTGAAATGCTATGATCAATTGATTTTCATGTTGTTCTATTGGAGAGCTTGAGTAGAGTAGCTTGGCCAAGATTACTGCCGGAGGGGTATAATAATGGAGTGTATGACTTAGGCAGTAGTAATACTGGAGTTATTTTGTCAAACTTATTTCATGAAACTCATGGAGGAGTATGTGCTTCATTGCAGAAATCAGTTTATGAAATCAGTTTCAATTAATTTACTATTTTAGAGATTAATATTGATTACAACATGATAATGTGTACGTTATTGGAAATTATTATTAGTAAGTGACTTACATGTAGAAGACACTAGCTAGAATAATTATTACTTGCATTGAGTTTGTTTCTTAGAGAATTCGCCTCCTAACCTGTGTACAAGTATATATATGCAAAGTTTGAGTTTGGGTATTGTTTATTCTTCCAGCTCATACTTAAAAAGTTGTCAGAGGAAGTCTCTACTCGGGAGTCTCTAAAACATGTAAGGGATGATGACGAAGATATGGAGTTTATTGTCGTAGTTATAGGTTTCATTATGATAGTAGTAGGTGCATGTTATGGTCAAAAGTATAGGCTTAAAGAGGTAACATGGAATGAGCATGAGTGTGCCTTAACTAGAGCTACTTGGATGAACACTTTAAAAAATAATAGGATTTTTCGAGAGCAATTAAGGAATGAAATAAGTTGTTTTAATAAATTATGTCATATTTTGCAAACTAAGGGAGGTTTAAAGACAACAAGAAATGTCACGGTAAAAGAGATAGTTGCATTGTTTCTTCATATTCTTGCCCAAGATTTGAAAAATAGAACAATTCAAGCTATCTTTGCCCGTTCTGGAGAGTCCGTGAGTCGTCAATTCCATATAGTCCTCCGATCTATTTTGAAGATTGGAAAATATTACATCAAGCAAGTTGACCAAACCACTAGTTTTGCCGAGGATAACAAGCAGAAATGGTTTGAGGTAAAATCAATATGACCTATAGCTTTAGTGATATAAATTTCTTTTTATTAGCCGAAGTTATGTATTGTGAAATATAATGCTAGGGTGTTGTTGGAGCTCTTGATGGAAAACACATTAAGATGACCGTCCCTATTGAGGATCCTCCTCGCTATCGAGATAGGAAAGGTGACCTTAGTACTAATGTCTTAGCGGCTTGTGATTCAAATCTTCGTTTCACATATGTCTTACCCGATTGGGAAGGGTCCGCATTAGATCCTCGTGTGCTTCGTGATGCGTTAAGGAGGCCTAATGGGCTTAAATTACAAAGAAGTGAGAGTTTAGATATTTTTTTTCTCATAACTTAGTTATTTTATACTGAATCTTATATGATTAATCTAATATTTGATATTGCAGACAAATACTTTCTTGTGGATTTGGGCTTTTCAAACTGTGAGGGATTTTTATCTCCTTACAAAGGAACCCGTTATCATTTCAATTTGTGGAGGGGAAACACTCCAACAAATTATATGGAACTTTTCAACTTACGACATTCCTCTGCCCGAAACACTAGCGAAAGGGCTTTTGGGTTGTTGAAGAAACGTTGGAGCATCCTTAGGGATCCTAGTTTTTTTTGGGAAAAAGACTCAAATTAGGATAATTAATGTATTTTTCATCCTCCATAACTTAAGAGAGGAAAAAATGGAAGAAACGACTCTTATGCAAGAGGTAGAACACGATTTGTTAAATATGGAAGTAATCGATGTAGAAAAAGAAGAAGAAGAAGAAGTGTAGACACCCATTTGTGTCCCCCCAAAATCAAACCCGGTGATGAATACCTTTCATGTCAAATCATAATCGAATGAAGTGAAAGTGTGGAAAGTTTAGTGTTGCGGTTAGTTTTTATTAAAATTCTCTTCTTTCACTCTGTTTTTCGAAAACCTATTTTATGAAAATAGTCAATCTAATTTATTTTGGTCCATAACAAGGGTCCAATAAAAGTGTAGTTGGATCGGGTTCGAAAAGAGCTTTCCAACGATATATTATATGCCCTATTCCAATAAATAATGAGGAAGTTATGGCCAAATTACTAAACTGGGCCCGGTTTGATCCTTATTTGTGGCCCAATGATCTAGAGGAGGGCCTATTATGATTTATCATTCCTAATGCAATTAGGATTGATTATAGTCTTCTAAAATATTCTAGAAGGTTCTTTTGAATCCTAATGTGATTAGCATTGATAATTGAGTTTTATGAGTTTTATTTAGAATAAAAGAAGTGTTTTAAATGAAATTACAATTTTATCCCTCATACGCTTAATTTTATCAAAAAATATGAAAATGTGTGGAAAACTACCTGCAGCGCCGCACCACAGGCTGTCGCCTGGAGACATGCCTGTCAAGCTTGTCGCTCGACGATAGAGGCTATTGCGGCGCCAACGTCGTGTTTTATTCTTCTTGAAACTCTGATTCTTTTTTATCTTATTCTGACTTATTTTCATTATAAATAGCATCCTTAAACCTCCGTTTTTAATGATCAACTCTCATAAAAAATTCTCTAATTCTTCTCTCTCTCTAAGCTAAAGCTTATTCTCTCTCTCTCTCTCTCTCTCTCTCTCTCTCTTTCTAAACCAACCTTTTTTACAAACAAAATTCTGCATTCACAATCTAGACACACCTAGCCAAGTTCGAAGTTGCCTTCGCCCTAGACGTGAAAGGTTTGATATTTCCGAGGGTTTGGTCCTAAATCTTTATTTCAATTATTTAATTTAATTGTTTGATTTTATATTTTCCTTGAAGTTACTAATGTGTGTATTTTGTTATTAGAAAGAGATACGAGACATCCAAGTAAGTGATTTAATTGTTTAATTGATATTTTGATATAGAAATCATGTTTAGGTTGTTATCTTGATTCCTAGTATCATGTTAGGATGCTTTTCTTAGTATGATGTTTAGGATAAAGAATAAGTTCCTTAAATCAAGTATGATTTCTATGATGCTTCCTATTTTCTTTCCTAATAGCATGTTAGTATCATGTTAGGGTTAAAGCTTTGATTTTTATTGTTTAGTGACATGATAGGATTTGTTATTAATCTTGTTAGTATCATGCTTAGGATCTTGCTAAAATTATTATGCTTTAACATGATTATGATTATTCATTATTAGTTTTATTATGTTGCTTGATTATATTTATTATTATTGCTTGATCACACCTTTGATGCATGTTTAAAGGGAATTTGAACTTGTACTCACGCTTAATAAGATAATTAATAATCTTGTTTAGGGTTAATTTGATTATAATTCAAGTGATTGCCAATAATAGATTTATTTGTGCATTAATATTCAACCAACATAGATTAAACATGTTAAGGGTAAACCTATTGATTGCATGTTAGTCAGAAAGTGCATATGAATACGAGAAGAATAAAGTGGAGCCTTATTATTAGGGCAGGTTCAATCTCTTTTAGGTTGGATTTTTACCTTCATCCCCGAACTTCCAATCATGGTTCCAGACCTATTGGAGTTGATGATCTCCTTGATCGTTAAGGTGTGTAACCTTCACTCTATGAACGGTTTACAAGTTCCTAAAACTTGTTGGAGACTCTTTTGCTCTAGCTTCCTTCCCTTTGGATGCCACCGTACTTTAGTGTATAATCACAGTGGGGTTCAAGTTTGGGGTAATGCTTGAAATATTCCCTATAGTTTTTGGCGACTCCACTTGGGAGGAAATCTATTTAATTCCTGAAATTTATTTCGGCAATGATTTAGAATGAGAGGATAAGACTTGAAAGGTTATCACTGGAAAGACCATCCATAATGAGTCAAAAACATAGAATTTTTACACGTAGGAAACTTGAGGAATATTTTTCACATCTAGAATCGAAATAATGCTGCGAAAAACTAGAAAATTTAAGAATACAGAAAGCTGATGAGGCATGTTGGAACTGGCGTCTAGAAAACAGAGCCTGTCGCCAAAGATATGGCTCTGTTCCTGAGAAACAATCTTGTCGCCAGGTGACAGGGCTATATCGCGACAACAATCCCTTTTGGCTGACGATGCATTCTTCCAATACCGAACCAGAAATATGCGTTCTTTTTTCGACTAGTTCTAGCACTGTTGGCTCGATTCTACTTCCTGATTGATTTTTTCTCACTTTTCTGAAACCCCTATGTGTTCTACATATGGACATAACCCTCTGGGAATTCATGCTCCATCTACCTGATTGAACGCATGCTCCATCTACCTGATTGAACGCTCTGAGCAACAAAGGGTGCATCCGAGAATGTTGAATTCACCAAACCATGGAAGCAAGTTTAACTCGTGGGGTCCCATCCACTCGCGCCAACCCTTCCAAAGGTAAGGCTTCCGCACGGTGCATCCGAACTCATAACCATGGACCCTCTTTGACTAACCCATATCCCGAACTTTAGAGAACTAGAGCCATGGTTAGGTTGCAAACTTATTGCATCATATTGTGCCTACTTGACTATTTATGCATTATTTGTTGTGCATACTCTACGTGTTTTCCTAACCGTTTGTTTGACTTGTGTTTAAGCCTTAACTAAACTAATTAATGACTAATAGGACTTTGCCTAATTAATAATTTATTAATTTGAGTAATTAAAGTTTACTAAATTAATCAAAACTGACCTAGTACGATTTTAGGCCTGTCCCGTAGAGTAAAAATATTGAAAGCAGTCCCAGATTAATGCTCCAGTAATAGCGCAGTAATTTGGGATGTAGCGCCAAACGCTGCTGTGTAACACCGAGCGACAACCATGTCATCTGGCGCTGTACTGTAGTGTGCGGCGACAGTCCTGTTGCTTTGGGGTCAGTTTAGGATTTTGCTCGAGTCATCACGACGAGTCTAATTAAACAGTTTATTAATCAGTTCAATTATTTTGTTAATGACAGCAACCTTGTTTAGTCCTTAATTGAGTCTAAACACTTAGTCCCATGGTCTTACATAAGAGTCAAAGCATGTCACTTGCACTCACAATTAAAGCACACACTAATATGTATGACCATGTCTAGAGAGTTTTGTATGCGCGTGTTTTCCGTCATTTTTTTTAGGGGGGTAAGTCGGATATTAAACCTCCAATTAAACAACTTGCTTGAACCTATATACTTCATTCCCAAAAATATACACCCTATTTTTGCTTTTTTCCTTTTCTTTATAAACCCGTAAAGTCAAAGTTAATTTGAGTTAAGTCATTAAAATAAGTAAAATGGTTTAATTTACAGCGCGTGGTCAAGAAAGGAAGGGCGTTTAACCAGAGACAACCTTTTCGTTCAAGTACAACTTTTTGATAAACCAATCGGTCGAAAATGGAAAGCCAAGAAGATAATGGCGAGTCAAGAAGAAGTTAACGAGCTCAAGAAGCAAATGGCTGGTGGAACTGAGTTGCTAAAGACCTTAACCCTCCAAATTAATGACCCTGTGAAGCAACAACAAATGGAGCTCATGCAAGAGAGCATGAGTAAGATATCTAATGATTACAGGTTCCAGGGCATTAGCTCGCAAGGGGTCTCGGTGGACAAGGAGCTTCTTCCGCAGAAGTTCAATGCCAACGACATCCCAAAGTTCAAGGCCACTGATAACCCTTATTTTCTTTTAAGAGCCTTTGAAACTATAATGAATATTAAGGGGATTGATAGAAAAGTATTTCATTCTTTATTTTCCTTATCTCTTGAGACCATTTGCCAACAATGGTTCTTTTCCCTTGACAACGAGAAAACCTCTACTTGGGAATCAATTGTAATCGCTTTCATTGATAGGTATAAATGCAATATTCAAGTTGAAAATGATTATAGGGAACTTGAAATACTTAAACAAAAAGAGAATGAAGGTTTCACTTCTTTCTTCAATAAATGGAGAGAAACCTCTGCTAGGATGATTGAAGTACAAACTGAAAAAGAATCTGTTAGGATGTTCATTAAGAACCTCCAAGAAAAGTAATCCAAGCATCTTAAGTACCCAAGATGACGAGCATTACTTAACTAACAATGAAACTGACAAAGAAATTATTAAAGAAATGGAAACACTTGAAAAGAAAACACCAGTAATTGAGGATACCGAAACGGTTGATATCTCAAATGATTCAACCATTAAAAGAGAAGTTAAAATCGGATTAACACTTAATAAATAAGAAAGAACCAAATTAATTAATCTACTTAAAGAATTTATCGATGTATTTGCTTGGTCATATGAAGATATGTCAGGCATTAATAGAGAAATAGCTCTACACACTATACCACTAATTCCGGGAATGAAACTTGTAAAACAAAAGCTACGTCGAATGAAACCCGACGTAGCTCTTAAAATAAAAGAAAAAATTCAAAAGCAAATAACTGCTGGTTTTATTAGGGTATTAAAATACCCCGAATGGGTAGCAAATGTGGTCCCAGTTCAGAAGAAGGATGGAAGGGTGAGAATGTGTGTCGACTATCGAGATTTAAATAAGGCAAGTCCAAAGGACGACATCCCTTTACCACACATCGATATCTTAGTATTTAATACAGCAAATAATGCGCTTCTCTCATTTATGGATGGATACGCGGGGTACAACCAGATTCTCATGGCGAAAGAAGACATGGAAAAAACAACATTCATAACACCTTGGGGTACTTACTATTACACGGTAATGCCATTCGGGTTGAAAAACGCGGGTGTTACTTACCAACGAGCAGCGACTACCCTACTCCATGATATGATGCATAAAGAAGTTGAAGTATATGTGGATGATATGATCGTGAAATCAAAAAATCACCCAGGACATCAGGTAGCCTTAAGAAAATTCTTCGAAAGGCTAAGAAAATACAACATGAGGT